GGCAGACTCTTTTAGTCTGTCCCACCTCTGCCTAAATGCGTCACCATTACAAGCAAAGTTTCACCCCAGATGAAAGGACATTAACAATCATGTGTCCATATGAAACTGTAGTATATTTCAGGATGATCCATTGCTATAAGTATTTCTATTCTTTCCTTTTAAACTTTGCTTTAAAGCTACTTTAATGGTCTTTTTTCTTGGGTGTATTGAACTACTATAAATCTCTGTGGTATGTGAGTTCAGGGAGTTTCCATTCTATATGGTTCTGTTAAATTTCTCTTACTACAGCACAGTCTTCACAATTAACTGTTGATTTCCTTTTCCAAATGTATTTGTTTTGTTCGTGCTTGATGTTTGTCAGGTTTTGCAGTATAGTTAGGGTACTAGGCTAGGACATGTTTTCAATTTCCTGCTCTAACACAGACTTACTGTGGGGCCTTGGACAAATCACTTAGGTACGTCTACACTGCAATGCTATTTTGGGATAACAGAGGTATCCCAAAATAGCTATCCCGCCTCTTTTGAATGTGTCCACTGTTACGAAATATAGCGGACGCACTATTTCAGCATCCCTGTAAACCTCGTTCCACAAGGGATGTTACGAAATAGTGCTTTATTTTGAAATTTGTCACCATGTAGACGTGCCAAATTGCAAAATAGCCTATTTTGAAAAAGAATCGAAATAAGATACACAATTTGCAAAGCGCAAATTGCTTATCTTATTTCAAGCTAAGGGTGTAGTCTACACACACCCTTTGTCTCTCTTTGTCTCAGTCCCCTAACTGTAAATATGCTCCCCATGCCTCAGTTGTCCATTTCTAGCAATAACTTAACCATATTAATAGCCCTTTTCTACATCACAGGGGTATTGTGAGCGTAAATGCATTAATAATTGTCATATGCTTTGAGAGGCAAAGCTCTGTTAGGTTTTAATATATTATTATTTAAGAGCCACGGCTCCTGGGAACAGATGATTAGTTGAAAATCTCAGCTTCATTTTTAAAAAATGTTTCTGCCCTCAGGGTTGCATAGAGAAGCCTGAAAAAGTGGCATGAGAGTACTCTTCTGGCTCAGAAACCGTAAGGCAAAGACTTTAAAAAAAACCATACTTTTTAAACCAATCTCATGATTCTCATGTCTTTCTGGCATGGTTTTTAATGCATGGGATTGGCATGGGAATAACAAAATGGGAATAATTGCTTTTAAAATAACAAAATCAGGATAAGCTATACTAGCTCTTTCTCAAATGTTTGGAACAAAGCAGCTGTTTTTTCTTCCCTCTTTTGCTGAAATTCAGCAGTTATGTTTTTTATTCCAACTATTAATCTGTATGTCTCTTCAATTCTTTTTTTTCTCATGACATCAGTACGGCTATGGATCTCCATCCACTCATGGTAAGAAAACTGCTAGGTGTCCAAAGTCAATCCCCAAATATATTTTAATGCTATTATATCTCAACGTCTCCTTTGACTCATCTGCATGAAGGTGTTTCCTGGAAGTCTAGACAAACTCCAACAGCAATGAAAGGGTTGATAGTTTATTTATTGGTAGAACATTGAGATCTATGAGACTGCTGGACTCAAGAGAATTGGGATTGGGATAGAAAACTGTTCACATCAAGATTACTTGTATGAATGTTGTGTGGGTTGATAACTTGGGGATTTGTGAAAGTTATTGACACATGTTATGCTGTCTCTGATCTGTTGACTTCAGTTTCCAGTGCTGTGAATTTGGTATCCTTTGTAAATACAAACTTTTTTTTCTTATTAGAAGGACACACTGATCAAAATATAAGCTATTTACTGTGAGCATATAATATATGCACTTATATCCCTTGCATACATGCAGAAGTAAAATGTGTATTTCTTTCCAGCACGTGATCTAAATGAATGGCAAGTAGAAATTCAAGGAGCAGACCATTTGCAAAGAAGAATGAAAAGTGGATTTAAAGGAACTATGAAAAACAGGAAAAAAGGTAGCAATATTTTAAAGAAAATGTCTTGCTATAAGTTTATACAAAAATGGCTACCATTTTATGGTATGCAAACTTGTGCCTTCAAATATTGTAGTATTTTAATAAAGGCCTGAACAAAAGCACAGCGAATCTTTCTGCTGATTTCATTGATCTGTGGATCAGATCCTTAATTACTATTTACTATCTAAAAAATGCCAACTTTTGTCTCAGCAGAGGGGTTCTTTAATAATTCTGAAGTGATGCCTGAACTTTGTGTTTTGATGGCTGATGCAGGTTACAGTTAGTGACAAAATGAATAAATGTTTATCTCACCTTTAGTATTGACTGAATTTCCTGCATGTAGAATGGGAAATACTACAAATGCTATAGTAAAACTTAATTAGGATACCATTCCCCTCCTTTCCCCCATGCCCTAGTGTAATCCAGGATAGTAGTAATTCAAAATAATTGGCAGTAGACTATCAACCCAATAGAGAAAAATAAAGGAGGTAGGTTTTATTTTGGGAACCAAACTTTCATAGCCATGACATGCACTAATACCTATATGTGCAAAATCTGTTTGTCGTGAGTCTTGCACATTCTTTCCTGTACCAATCTCTCACCTGAACAAATAAGTGTCAATACCTGAAAAGTATTTGCACACATAGAAACACTCTGCACTTATGAACATTATTAGCATGAAACTTCTCAAGTGTGAAAATGTCTTTCAGATCCTGGCCTTTAAATAACTCTTTTCCATCTTGGTACCCAATTTGCCAGCTTAGGTAGGCTCTCTTTCTTTGCTGGTATCTAGACAAGACAATTCTCTCCAAAATTCACTGGGAGTTTCTGTGTTTACATAGTGATTCTTTACAAATCACATCAAGAAAACTTTTGCTGGTTGCTCAGGAATTTGGAGGAATGGAGCTCAGAGTATGAAAAGGGAATGCAAACACAAGACTCAACATTGAAAGCAACTAAATGCTTAGCCAAAAGTATTGATGCATTGAGTAATCAATGTTAATCCACTCAAAAGGAAAATCAGAGTATCCAAGAACCAAATCAGAGCCAAGAACATGAGCTCTTAGGGCATTTCAACAAGCTGGCACATGCCAATCCAGCAGACTTTGTAAAAGATGAAATTCCTAAACACAATCAATTTTAGAATAGGAGAATAGTGTCAGATTGGCACTTCTTGGATACAGACATTCTCTATCCACAGAACAAAGGCCTCTTCTGTACCATAGGGTAGGCTGCAGTGTGCTGTAGAGCCAACCCTCTTACAAAGGCAATATTCTTGGAGATCCTGAATGATTGAAAACACAGACCGTTAGCAGATTAAAATTGCTTTAACTTCCTTTGAAATCAATGGAGTTACACTGATCACACCAGAAGACAATCAGGCTGAACATGAGGAAAGCACTACAGATACAAGAAATGAGCTCAATATTTCTTCAATCATGTGGGCTACGTCTAAACTGGCATGATTTTCCACAAATAATTTTAACGGAAAAGTTTTTCCGTTAAAAGCATTTGCGGAAAAGAGCATCTAGATTGGCATGGACGCTTTTCCGCAAAAGCACTTTTTGCGGAAAAGCATCCATGCCAATCTAGATGTGGTTTTGTGCAAGAAAGCCCCTATCGCAATTTTTGCCATCGGGGCTTTTTTGCGCAAAGCAGTTTTTAGCTGTCTACACTGGCCCTCTTGCACAAAAACATTTCCGGAAAAAGGCTTTTGCCCGAACGGGAACGTCAAAACATATGCTCAAGAAGCACTGATTTCGGACAGTAGAACGTCAGTGCTTTTGTGCAAAATCAAGCGGCCAGTCTAGACGCAGCCGTGGAGTTTAAGAAAGATAGAGAATTTTCTAATCTGTACTTAACACAGTACTATCTAGGTAGAAGCTCATCATGTCCATACGGTGCATCTTTTAGAAAAGCTAATGCTTAATTCCATGTTTATTGTTTATTTGTAATGAGGGCTGAGGGTGGGTGGATTGTCTAAAAAGCCATTATCAATTATTTGCAACGCGAAATATCCTCTTGGGATATATTTTGAAATGACAAGGTGCTAGGTAAACTCTAGTTCATTTCTAAAGTACAAATAATGTTCTTCTTGGTATCTCTGAGCCAGAGATAAATGGATGATTTCGCATTTTTCAGAGGGGAACTGAACATTCCATCAGAGTTTGTTATTTTTCTAGTTCCTCATGGTCAAACTGTGATGATGAGCATGACACAACTATAGGCTTTAGTCGGTGTTGTCCAGAGAGAAAGATAAATAGGGAGATTTCCCTTACCTTGCTTCAGTCTGACTACAGTGTAAAACATAAAACGCTACACTGTCCAATGCCGATTAAAGCCTATGGTTGTGTTGTACTCATCATCACAGTTTGACCATGAGGAACTAGAAAAATAACAAACTCTGATGGAATGTTCAAAATGTATCAGATGAAAGACCAAGTAGGGGATGAAATCTATCCACAGGGCATAGCAGTTGGAGTTACACAGCTAAAGGCTCAAAATCATATTTTCTGCTACACTGTGTGATGACACATTTGCATGCTTACAAGTATTGAGCTGAGATTTTAGCCACCTTACAGTTCACCATCCATCAAGGACAAGATCTGAGGAGGAGGAGGAGGAGGAAGAGAAGATTGGGGTTGCCACTGCTAACCTTTCATGAGGATTGTCCTGGCCTCTGCCCACTCGGTTCTTCCATCAGATGTCAGTAGACCAATCGGAGGCAGCCTCTCTTCTTCGTTCTCTGCCATTCTGACAATCTTTCTTAACTGAGTGAATAGATCCCCTTCGCTCAGACGGCGGAAATTAATGACAACATCCAAAACAAAGAACTGCAGGGAGATGATAAAGTCAGGAGGATCACAGCCAGATGGTACTGAGTTCTGTAATGGTGCGTCCACACTGCACCGTTATTTCGAGATAACTCACCAGGGGTTATCACCAGGCCTCACCAGGCCTCACCAGGGCCATTCTAAGTTATTCCTCTTGGGGCTCTAACTCAAGATAGCACATCTACATTAGTGAAGCCTGTCTTTGACTAATTTTGGGGCTTCCCTGCAATGTAGAAGTGCTATTTTGAAATAAGCTATTTCGGAATAACTGTTCTGGAATAGCTTACTTCAAAATAGCTGTGCAGTGTAGACGTATTGTAAGAGCACCTCTTGCCCCATGTGGGAATGCTATAGTCTGCCCAGTGAGAATTACATGGCTGAGGGACGTAGTGTGCTGATACTGTGCTCTCGCCTGTCTGGGTTTGAACCAGTTTAATGCCCCTGACTTCGTTGAGTGGCTCCTAGGGTGAGAGCAGAATAAGGCGCACTGTGGCTTCTACAGGGAACAGCAATGCAGAGCCCCATGCTATTTTAAAATAGCTGGGACCAGGGAAATTATTAACATGCTTCCAGGATTTAATTCCTTGGGTGTTTTTAATCTTATTCAAATAATGTGCACCTTATTCTGCTCTCACCCCCATGCAAATCAGGAGCCACTCACCCCCTTTCTAGAGAAACTGACAGGGTCTGAGTTAAGACCAGCTCAGACCTTTATCTACTAAAACTTCCTCTCCTGCCAAAAACAAAGCAAAAAAAACCAACCCCCCCCAAAACAAACAAAACAACCCCCCAACTCTACACCACACAGGACTACAGGTTGTACTTCCCTGGTCCGGCAACTCCCTGGTCCAGCAACATTCGCAGTCTGGCTCAGACCAGGGATGTTCCTGGACCACAGAGCCCAGGAACAGGGAGGTCTGGTGGCAGGGCAGGAGTGGTAGGGGGCACCAGCAACACAGCTGGGAGCCCAGTGGGGGGAAGAAAACGGGCGGCACAGTAAGGAGCTCCAGCCCCAGTGGCAGCCATGGAGCTCTGCCCCGGCCCTGTTCTGGTTCCAGCAGTCGGGGAGCTCCTGCCCCAGCCTCAGCTGCAGCCAGTGAGCTCTGGCCCCAGCCATGGAGCTCTGGCTCCTGCTCTCTGCCCCAGCCCTTGACTACAGAGCTCCAGCCCCAGTTGCAGAGCCAGGCAGCTGTGGAGTTCCAGCCGCGGTGCTCCATCCCCGGCAGCAGCACAGCCTGTGGCGTCTAGTGAGGAGCTAGGGAGCAGCAGGGGCCAGCTGGATCCCTAACCTAGTGGGCAGCATGGGCCAGGAAGGGAGACACATCCCCTGGTCCAGAAAATCCCCTTGCTTGGGACCAGTCAGGGTCTGTGGGTTCCAGACCACCAAGGTTCAACCTGTAGGCCTGATTCTTGATTCTGATCATTATCCTTCAGGTCCTTCAAATAGATTTTGACTGCTAGTTCCTTCCTCTAGACATGTCATGCCTCACTCTTCTTGCCACCCATAGGTTCCTTAATCTTCTGCCCTCTCATTATTACTCTTGATTGGCTCATTGTCCTGACCACACAGGTTAGAAGGCTGGGATTCCAGGGGTATTGCCTTATACAGACAATTACATGAGTCCAGGATTTCTCATGACATTGCCAATGATTCTGAAACATTGACTTTTTCATCTCAATTCCAAAAGAAAACAATGTTAAAATGCCACAATCTTCTGGGGAAGAGAAATCCAATTTTCTGACCGGCTCTACTCCTTACAATGCATTAAAAAAGCAAAATCTTTGCCTTTGGAATGTACCATATTGTACTAAATGTCAAGGACTTGCAAACAAAATGCTGTATGGGAAGAATACTGTACTAGGTCCTTTCTCCTTCTATCCTCACTCTAAATTGTAAAGGCCGAGCACTTTGAGGCATGCCAATACCCCCAACATAGTTTTCGAGGTCAAAACATAAACATTTTAGTAAATGCACTTCATGTAAATTTGTTTGCCCAGCGGTGTTGCTTCTATGCTTGATAAGCTTTTTATTTGAATGGAAACCAAATGCTGTAGTATTTTCTCTAGCCTCTAATCTCTCCTCTCTGTAGCAGTGTGCTCCGAATGTAAACTGGGCTAAGAAAAAAACACCTCTGTGAGCTTCTTGTTAAAATGTTTGGCAGAACTAAGTATTGCCTTCAGGACTGAGCCCAGTGCCATCATGCATTGGACATTAATTGTGTTACTGGACCAATGATCATATTACATTGTTACCAAGAAAATGTACGCATGCTAGATTTCTGAAGGAAAGAAGAAAAGGTCTAGAACCAAAATGGTTACTCACCTGATTGTTACAAGCAACAATGATGTGCTCTGGTTCTGGCATTATGCTGCTTTTCTGGGCGACAAGAGTATCTTTGGTATGGCCTGGAAGACGATAGGAAGAAAAGAGTCCATAGTATTGCTTCATACAGAGAGGATGACCAGAGAGCTGTCCACGAGCAAAATCAACAGGAATAGAATTGCTGGAAAGAGAGGAGAAAAACAAAGCCAGAGAAAAGTAGAAAGAGAAAGAGAGAGGGACAGAAAGGAAAAGAAATCTAATCTGTCCTTTGTTCTGTTACAATTAGATTAGGTACAATACAAATGGAATAATAAAAACTAGATTACAGTGTAAAGAAATGATGAATTCCCCTTCCGAAGTTAAATACATCACTTCTGGCACATTCATGCATATTCATTATGCAACTGTATTTGCATCCAATGAATATATGTGGGTGACTCAAACAATATCAAGGCATGCAAATCAGTGACTGCAAAATATATTCATCATCTGTGAATATACAGTAAACTCTCACTTTTCATCATCCAACATAAAATCTTTCATATATGAAGCCCCACATATTGAGTTACTTTGCTGTGGAATATTTACTTTTCTGATTATGAATTTGAGTTTATGGTATAGGCAAAGCAGTAAAAATGAATGTAGTTGTCATTGTGGGGAGGGGCCACAGGGAAATTCCAGGCTTTATGGTTAAGACATTAGACCAAGAGAGTGGTTTAACTCCCAGGTCTGCAATAGACTTCCTTGGGAAAGTTATATAGGCCACATCTACACATTGCAGAAGATTGGTGCTCCAGAGGTTGATCTTCTGGTGTTCAATTTACCGGGTCTAACACAGACCTATAAATCAAATGCTGAGGGCAGCTCCAGCCAGCACCTGGTACTCTTCCTTTTGTGAGGAGTAAGGGAAGCTGATGGGAGCATTTGCTCTGTTGGCCTCCCACTGTGTGAATGGTGCAGAAAGATGATTTAAGATACACCAATTCCAGCTACATAATTAACATAGCTGGTATAACGTATCTTAATTCGACATTCTGCTGTAGTATAGACCGGGCCTTAGTCTCTTTGTACCTAGGTCTTCATCTGTAAAATGGGGATAATAATACTTCCTTTCTTTCCACCTTTGTCCTGTCTATTTAGATTGTCAGCTCGCTAGGCTTTCTGATGTAGTGAAAATCCAATGGATTCCCAATCTCAAATTGGGCCTATTTTTACAAGAGCAGTAAATAAATGGTAAGAAAACCTCTGATTATCATGATTTTAGGAAAGGGACATTATGCTATAGTATTCTGACAGAAAAACTTGCACTGATTTAATACAGGTTAATCTATGTTCTTCTGTTATAAATTTTTTTATACCTGAGTTATGCTTTGTTTGAAATACTTTACCCAAGCAACTAGGCTATTTACATAGCTAAAACTACATATGTTGGAAAGTTATGAACTGCTTTTGGATACTAGTTGTGTGCCTACTGTGTTTGCCGAAGTAATGATCCAAAAGATGCTAAGATTACAATGACAATCCTATAATTGTAACAGGGCAACAATGGATATTGGCAAGCACATTGATGATTATAATGAGGAAATATTAGTATTGGTATCCAAAGATTAGCAACAACCATAACACTTCATGAGTAAGGGAGTAAAGAATTATTAAAGCAACACAAGAAATGCTGTGATGAGTCTTCTATAGATCAAAGAAACCAGGTCAAAATATTAAAGATAAAATGTTACAACTTTGCTAAGCAATATGTATTCCTAGCTCTTCATAGATGTATACCATGCTGCCACTTAAAGATGTATTTTTAGATATGCAGGTATAGCATACAAATCTACAGTTTATCACAGACATAAGCATGTAGTCCTGAGCAACTGTGGTAAGTTTCTGAATAGTTTCAAACTCTGAAGTAAAAAAATCCAACAACTCCTTTAATTTCTTTTCTTATAGTAATTTCACAGGTGATGAGACAAAGATGATCAGATGTCCCAATTTTACAGGAACTGTCCCAATATTCTGAACTTTTTCTTACATAGGCACCTGTTACCCCTCTCACTGCCTGTCCTGATCTTTCACACTTTCTATCCGGTCACCCTAAGTGAGATCTCAAATGGCTAAATATCATCTTTGCCTTTCCCTGACCCAAATGAATGCTGGTCAGGATGTGTGACGAGGGGGCTCTCGTTATCTCAGGATCTAAAATGTTTCTTCCCTCCCCTGTGGTGCAGTGTGCTGTGTGTTGATTGTCTGCCGCATTCTACTCTTTGGTTGGATGCATTTCAGTGGTACTGTAGAATGAAGTTTGTGAAATTCCTTTGGATGAATGGTGCTATGGCAGTTATTAATGGTACTGTTCTCAAAGGGCGGGGGGAGGGGGGGGTTGCAAACTTTGCTATGACATCACCACCACTGATCTGTGGCTGGGGAGGATGGATTCCTTAGGTAGGTCTGAAACAGTCACATTAGTCACATTTTTATGTTGAACTGTGTATCTGTCAGATGACTGACATGACTTATGAAGAATCCTCATTTGGCGCTGCATATGGTAATAAGAAAGGAGAAGCATGTAACGCTACCATGGTCTTGCCAAATCTACCAGACCTGAACAATTTCAGGTCCTCACACTGGTCCAGTGAATTACAACCTAATGCCATCTGACTTTGGATACCTCCAACCATTCCTAATTTGAGCTCTTTATATTTGCAATCAGTCCGTGATTCTATTTCCAAAATACTTACACATCCAATAAAGCTTTATAATCCAGCACTCCTGAAATGAGATTAGCAGCAAACCTGTAAGTAAAATATAGACATACCATCACTCTTTTGCTAGGCAGCAACTGTGTGCCATTTCTGGGAGTTCAGCCTGAGCCTGAGAAGGCCCATAAAGATCAATTATACTCTATAGCCTGACAGAGTCTGTCTCTTGGCAAGAACAGGGGGAAAAAACCCTCTGTGATTAATTTTAACATACACACACACAGAGGAAAAATTAGTTGACTGGTGTGTATAATTACACTGTGATGTATTTGTATGGGCATAGTGCCTAAGAGCTCTAGTCACGGACCAGGCCCCATTGTGCTATGTGCTATGCAAACAGAATAAAATGACAGTCTCTGCTCCACACAGTTTATAATCAAGTAGTAATGATATTTAACAGTTAAATCAATTTTGATTGGATACCTCAGGAGGCTATTTGGAAATAGCTGTTTACAGAAGGGATGGGGCTGCATTGTAGATCGGCTTCTCAGTAATATAAATGCTTAAAGTACTACCTGGTGTATAGAAGTTCTTGGTGTCCTGAAATATATATTCTTACTCCATAGCTGTGTGGCAGGCACATGACTTCCTTAGACCGCGCATTTGCTATGTTTCTGAATGGCATCCTCTATGCTAAAAGTGTTTGCTTGTTACAGGTCACATGGTTTAGAGAAATGCAAAATGTAGTTTCATAGAAAAGAATGTGCACAGTGACTCTATTCAGTAACAAGAGGAAGCACGTTTATTCTAATGTTTAGTGTAGGTTTTAAAAAGATGTGGTGCACTGTCTATGCAAAATGTTAATATAATCCTGATAAGTTTCAAGGTTCTGGCTGTTTTTATAAAACTATAATAGCATAAATGCATATACATTTACTCTTTCAGTAAAGTGCATCTGGAAACTGCTAAAAGGAAATTGCAATATTTGAAAGTAGATTTGCTCTGTATTGCTTTTTAAAAAGGGGAAATGATTTGGTAAAGGTTAAGAATTGGAAACTTATTTTTAATAACATTTGGGGATGTATATTGTATACTTGGCTTGGTTAACATTGTTTATTCTTCATGTTTTCATTTTTAAAATAAATGTAGCTACTCTCAGCACTGGTCTCCACTAGGAAATTACTCCCATTATTCTGAAATAACAAGTAGAGTATCCACACTACCAAGCCTGTTATTTCGAAAAAAACGGGCTTGCTATTTTGAAACAATAACTCCTGCTTATCATGAGCAATAACGCTTATTTTAAAATTGTTATTTTGATATAGCATTTGTGTGGTTTAGTTATTTTGAAATAATTTCCTAGTGTAGACATACCCTGAGAGCCCTATTCTATAAAGTGCCGAGAAAAATATTCCAGTCTCTTAATATCCATTGAACTCAATGGAATTTGAAGGAATTCAGTCCCTTGTGGGACTTGACCCTGGGAGATATCATTCATTTTCAAGTTACCGATCTCTTAACTAAATGAGTTGGTGAATATGACATTAGTGAACATTGTGAGTACAAAGGTGTATTTTCCAGGAAAGGTCTGTGTCTCTCACCATTTTTGAAAAAAATAATAAAATAATTAGTATTTTGATTATTTGTACCCGCCTGAGTATAAATATTCTGATAAAAAGAGGTTATGAATGGTAGCCACGGGCACGGAGTCCGAACTAGCGGACATTTAAAAATGGCGGCGCCCGGCAACATGCAAATTCAAATCCCGGGCTTCATTTGCAACTCCGGTTGCCTACATTAACCACCCTAGTTTGAACTAGGGTAGTAGTGTTGCCATACCCTTAGAGACCAACCAAAATAGAATCATGAGCTTGGGTGGGCAAAACCCACTTCCTCAGATGGGCTGGAGTGGAACTAACAGAACTAAGAGTATGTCTACACTGCAGAGTTTTTCCAAAAAAACCTTCACTTACGCCCACACTGGAATTGCGTTCTTCCGAAAGCAAATCAAAAGAACAGAGGGTTTTTTTCTGGCATTGGTAATCATCTTTCTACAAGGAAGAAGCCTTTTTCCGAAAGAGCTCTTTTGCAAAAAGATGTGCATAGATGGGGAAGAGGAAATTCTTTCGAAAGAAGAGGAAAGAGGAAAAAGCACAGGTACCCTGGTTGCCATTCTGTCCCTAGTAATCACAACTTAAATGAGAGATAGTGTCCATTCAGTGTGGATGCTGTCTTTCAAAAAAGCAGATCGCTTTTTCGATGCACTGTTGTGTGTGGATGCTCTCTTTCAGAAGAAGTTTTTCCAGAAGATCTCTTCCGAAAAAAGGTTCTTCCGAAAGAAGCCTGCGGTCTAGACACAGCCTCAGCTGCTGCTATTTTGAAATAATTGGGCTCCAGAGGCCTCTCACAGCTGCACTTGTGGCCACTCTGGCCACACCCCAACACCTCCAATGCCCCCCTTGTCCTGCAGAGTTTAAAGCTGCAGGCAGAAAGGAAAGGGCTTGTGGCACCAGGACAGCTCTGTGACCCCCATGCCACACAGCACCCTTCAGTGGAGCCATAGCCAACCCCAACATTCCCCCCTCAGTTACGCCCCTTCTCGCCCACAGGCTGTTGGCCTGGCTGGCACATTCCCATGCCTGCATGTCTCCAGGCTGTAGGGGTAGTGATGCTCCCCTGAGACATCCAGGCCCCTGCAGAAAAGTGCCCATGTCTGTGTAGGCAACAGACAGCCTCACTCGAAGCACATCGCCACCATCTGAACCGAGACCTTTGGTGTCAGCGCAGAGATTGGGGCTATGCTTCGTGCACAGTGTCTCCTGGGGTGACTGCCCTTGTCACTTTTCTTCACACCTGGCCCAGCTGTGAGCGTGGCACGTCTACCACTTCCCACGCCCACTCCAGGTTCTTCCCCCAATCTCTCCCCTGTTGTATAATCCCCCCATAAAAAGTCACAGTTGTTTGTTCAAACCAAAAAGCTTCTTAATTTGCTCTGCATGGGAGTGGGAAAGGTCAATACCAAAGATATTATTTGGATGCAACAGAGCTCCAGAATTCATTGTTTATACATGCAGCAGCAGGTATAATCAGGAGTAATGCAATTACTTTGGGATAAAAAGTAATTTTTGAAAACATTGTCTGTTAAAGTGATCCTTCCCGCAACCCAGTTTTCTGATTATACAATCAGCACTGCTGCTTATATATGGCCTAATTCTTCATGAGCCCTGCAAATGATTTTCTTCTAGTTCATGTTTTAATATTGTATCTCCAGGGGTACATCAACACTGCACGCTTATTTCGAAATAAGCTATTCCAGAAGAAATACTCGAAAATAGCTTATTTCGAAATAGCACGTCTACACTACAGAGAAGCCTCAAAATTAGTCCAAGGCAGATTCCCCTAATGTGGATGTGCTACCTTGATTTAGAGCCCCAGGAGACACTGGGGAATAATTACTTTGAGTGGCTTGGGAAAGGAGCTATTTCGAAATAGCAGCAGTGGAGTATCTACAATACTGCTATTCCGAAATAGCTATTTCAGAATAGGCGTTATTTCTCATGGACTGAGGTTTACAGAAGTCAGAATAAGCCATCCATTATTTCAAAATAACAGAATTGCTGTGTAGATGCTCGTTTTTTTTCAGAATATCGGCTGTTATTTCGAAATAACACTGCTGGGTAGATACATCCCAAGTTATTTTCTTTCAGCTCTGCAACAGTCTTCTGTATCAATCTGTTATCCAATAAAGCAGTCACTGTTGTGTTAGAATGGACTTTATTGTATTGTTGGAGGGTGTTGATTTCTCAGTACTAGTCCTTGGTATCCCAATTGTTGCCATTGCATTTTCAGGTTGTTTTGACTCTAACAAAGTTAATGCCTATTTTCCAGCATTTGTGCAGCCTTTGGGTACATGGTGGGAGATTAGGCAGTATACAAGCTTTTGCGCTTATATTTTTCCTTACTCATCAGTTCCCAGGAGATGCTAAACTGAGCATAAAAGTTTGTCCTGCATGGCACAAAAACCTCAGATTAGGGTGGCTGATATGTAGGTCTCTGCTACAGCTTGCTGAATTGTGTCTTTAGCATATTGGAGTCTCTTTCAGTCTAAGCAGCATGCATAGAGTCAGGATTTCATTTTCCAGCAAAGAGCTCTGGTTTGGGAAAGTTCCGGACAAGCAGTTTAAGATATCTCACAAGCATCCTTAGTTGCAAAAGTCCTATTAGTATCTATTGTTTAAAATGATAAATGATATGGCAAATTTTTCTATTAAAAGTATCATTCTTAACATAAGGTTTCTGCATGCCTGAAACTAGAAGCTGCTTATAGCTATAGTATGTACAATAGGGAATGGTTTAATGACTGGCATCTCATTCATTCAAACAAGCTAGTTGTCTCTTTACCAGAATAGCATATTTTAAGGTTTTTTCCAGAGGCAAAAACTATGGTCTTTAATACATTACCTCAGCTGGTCATTTGTATCCTTGAAATGCTGATGAGCAAAGATAATTGCAGGGCTGGAATTGACTGGAAGAGCCAACCGGTTGTTAAGGTACATGTCATCCAACCAGTAGTTAAACACCTAAGGAAAGGGCATGAAACATCTTAGAACCAAGTAAAAGGAGTAGTGTGTGCATGTGTGTGTGTGTGTGTGTATAGGCGGTTGGTGACACTATGCATCAAACATGGGCTTTGATTAATAGGGCCATTGATCATTTTCAGTCTGGGCTCAGTGGTCTCAGCTCACTCTAAATCAGCCACCAATCCATTAACCTATCATTTAGTGTATGATAATTTACAGTGTGTACCATAAAAAGGTAAGACAGTGTATTGTATTAATACTTATATATTGTTCACAGAAAAGTATTTTTCAAAAACAATGGTAAGCATTTATTTCTTAATGGCATAAACTGTATGTTTAAGGATGAATAGAACAGAACCAGAGAAGGCTTCTCTTATGGAGACAGTTGCTACAAATGTTGGTTGATATTGCCTAGATGCCATTTTTATTATTGCTCAAGTACCCTGCGTGCGCTTACTGCTGTGCAGAATGGTGAGCTGTACATAGTCCTAGAGAACTTAACAAGCATAGACCCTGATCCTGCAGATAATAGTGGATGAGTGGAATCCCGAGCCTGCACAGAACCCCATAATAGTCAGTGGTCCACTAACATGCCAACAGGGCACAGATTTAGATATATAATACAGTTCAAAACAAACAATACCAGGGCCTAAATTTTCAAAAGTGGTGAGTGATTCAGGGTGCCTGAGTTTTTGTATGCCCAATAGGAGAAACCTCAAAGGTCCCTGTTGGCATGTGATTGGGATCAGTACTTGATCCACACAAGCACAAGTAATGACCTTCTAAGCACTTGTGTATAGAAATTGAAAATACAATAAAGACAATTTTCATGTCCCCAGCCACTGTTTCGTGCTGTGGCTGATCAACATTATTAGGAAGACAGAGAATTGTTTGGAAAATCAAGGTGTTTGTCTGAATTTATCGCTTTGAGTACAGTAAATAGAAACAGAGAAATTATGAAAAGCTAATTATGAATGTTTGCATCTGCTCTAAAAGATTTCCTTTGAGATTTTTTTTCAGTGCTATTGGAACAGATGCTGAAAATAACTCCTTCCCCCACATTCCCTGGAGTCTTCAGGAGAAGAGGCCAAAGCTGTATTCCTGGGAAGTTAAATTCCAAAATAAAATCATTCTAGTTTGTCTTCACAATTGAGTGATTAATTTTAATAGCCAGACTCTATGTTGCGATATTTCAGAAAAGCCTTATTTGTGGCATATCTATAATTTTGTACCCTTTAGATGGATCACATTTCTCATTTGAATGATCTTTTTCTTTAAATAGTGATCAGAAACACTTTTTTATTTAGTAAATGTATGAATTATTATTTTAGAAAAAGAATAACAAAAGGAGATTTGACCATTCAGTGCAGCTTGCACATGATATCTATGGCTGTGTCCAGACTCAGGGGTTTTTTCGAAAAAAGTAGCCTTTTTTCGAAAAAACGTCACCTGCGTCTAGACTGCAGCCACATTCTTTCGAAATTAAATCGAAAGAGTGCGGCTTTTCTTTCGACGGTGGTAAACCTAATTCCACGAGGAAGAACGCCTTCTTTCGAAAGTGCTCTTTCGAAAGAAGGCGTTCTTGAAAGCAAACAGGCTTTTTAGAAAGAGAGCATCCAGACTCACTGGGTGCTTTCTTTCGAAAAAGCGGCTTGCTTTTTCAAAATTCCGCGTGCAGTCTAGACGCTCTCTTTCGAAAGAGGCTCTTTCGAAAGTATCTTTCGAAAGAGGCTCTTTCGAAAGAGGCTTGCAGTCTAGACATAGCCTATGTGTAGTCTCTATACCTGGGAGATAATTTTTTACTTAGATTTTTCCCTCTTAGTAGATAAGACGGATAAACCTTAATATATACAATTTTTCTAGTTTAGTCACAATTTCTATCACTCGTGCATTATCCAATATGCTGTCACAACTGCCATTTTCCAAATTGGCCAGTAGAGACAGCTTCAGAAAAGATGGCATGTAACTATCTGCAAAGATCAAACACAATTTATCTATAACCTATTGAACTTTTCCGGATTAAGAAGCAGAACCCTAGATTGTTTAAAGATTGAAGTCTTTAGAATGGAGCATGCAATATATCTTTCTGCAAACAGGCTATTGTAGGGGAATCTGACAGAAAGGCAAATAATAGT